TTGAGTAGGATCCTGGACAAACACTATTCATCTCAGAACAGCCAGTTGTGATTTCCAAAATTAATCAAGAGATCACTGGAAACTTGCATATCAGTCTTGAACAGTGGGAAGAATGGGACACTGCCTTTTCTAGCAGTTTTGCAAATGTAACTTAAAAATTGTTAATGTTGACTACAGAGTCATTCTACCCAGAACTGAGTCTATATATGTTGAAAGGGGAAATTAAAAGATCAATACCCTGGTGCTTTAAGGAAAAGATATTAAAAGCAAAAGCAAAAACTCATTTCAAAAGCCTTATAAAAGCAGATGAGTAACTGTGTTCTGCAGGGTCCTTAGAAGAGATACTCAAGTTCTTTAGCCCAATATAATCTAAAGCCATCTGCACTGAACAATTTCTCTGGGATGGAACTAAACTGTACCAGAGTGTTTAAGGCCATCTTGCATAGGAGAAAATTATTGCAATAGATCAAGTTTCAACTGTTACTTCAAGTTGTCCTACATATAATCATTTTCACCTAGCAAATCATCATTGTCTACTTTCTTTTCTTAACCAGATGATGCTGGGAGTGCAAATATGCATATCATATCCACTGTGATATTAGTTTATTAATCTTATTTACACTCCTTGGTGACTAAGCTCTTGTGGAGACAAAATTAATAAACTAAAATCATAGTGGGCATGGCCTGTGTATGTACCCTACCAACATCAAAAAGTTAGAAAGACTCTACTGAGAGCTAAAGGGAATAGGCAGACTCTCTAATTATATTATTAGCGTTTGTTTGCCAAATCTGACAGTACAGACATGGTTCCAAAATTTGGAATCCAGTGTTCTCTTTCTTAAACCTAATAGATTCTTGGAAAGAGAAGTCTTCCAGAATTTAAGCACTGAGTTCTATTGGAGAGTAGTGAAGTAAATATAATTTTGGAATGGAATAAAACCTGTAAATATTTTTATTTATTTTCGTTGCAAGTGACATGAAAGTTTAGGGCAAGGATTTAAAAAAAAAATTAATTGATGGAAAGTCAGATACATTCAGCAATTTCTATTATATTTAGTAGGTGAAATTTGTTTTGTGATCAGTGAAAATCAGTTTACAAATAGATTTATCCTTATAACTCTTAAATAAAAATAATAAAAAATGTGTCATATTTTTTTATTTCTTTTTCTTTTATTTTTCTTCATGGCAGGGTAATTAGTTGGGTCTTATTTTCCAGGTCACTTAAAAACTGTAAAGGCTCTTCCCCCATTACTAAAGCCATGAAGCGAAATGCCAAGAATGACATTTCTACTGATGACAAGGAAGCTATGGTTGATGTTCAAGCACAAGATAAAGTTATTGAGAGGATAGCAATCAATACCAATGAGGCATCAAAGAAAAAGAATTTTTTGGGCACAACACCTCCAAAGAAGTTAGTAAAAATCTATTGACTTTTATTAAGCACTGAAGATGGTATTCTTCTGAAATGTATGTAGAGTAGAGGAACTAGGAAATTCATTCTTTGTGTAATATTTTACATATCTGGTAGTTTGAATTAAGGATTTAGAGTAGAGTTTCCTTAAGATAACATTGCTTTCCTGTCAGTGTATTTTCACAAATGTAATTGATTTTTATTCTTTTCTTTTTTTCTTTCTCTCTTACCAGGAAGCAAAAAACTGCTGCAACAGATTGCGAAGTGAAAGGACAGGATCAGAGCAAGGATGAGGCCATTGACAAAGATAACAGTTGTAACAGTCCCTCTGAAGATGCTCAGAGAAAAATTACAACCGATGTAGACATGAAAGAACATTGTAATGGTAAAAATGGAGAAATCACTGATACAGAAAAAGAGTTAGAGGAAGAGGACCAACAGTATTTAGGGAAGTTAGTGATAGACAATATGTTAGATGATGAGTCAGAATCAAGTGAACTTTTAGATGAGAGTTTGGATGCCAGGGAAATAATAGATGAAGTTAATGAACTATTGCTTGATGAAGAAGATGAAAACTTGCCCAGTGATGATGAAAATATAGATGAGATTGAAGATGAAGATGAAAGGACTGAAGTCAAAGAAATGGAATGTGAAACACCAAAAGATGGAAAACTGTGGAAGCTAAATAAGTGGAAAGAATATATGATGTACAGTCGAAAAGAATTGGCCTGTAAACCCCTCTCAGTATACAGAGAAGATGATGACACCATTCTGTTAGCTTTGGCACCATATACCTCAGTGTACTTTCAAGGCATTGCTCGTGTCCACCTGATTGCTGGCAGTGTTAAAATTTCTGGTTATGAAATGGAACAGGGCGAGGAGCACACTGTTTATTCATTAATGTCTCATTCTCTTCTGGCCTTGGAAGCAAGAAAAGGAATAGACTTATCTATAAAGAAGAACATTCCAGGAATTCCAAAGGATTGGATCCAGGAACTCATGTCAGATGAGGTGAGATAGCTGTTATTTGCTGTTCAGTTTTGTCATGTGGATTAGGAAGTTTACTCATCTACAGGCTGTTAAATTTTGTATTATTTATTTTACATCTACTGGAACTAACCAATCATTTGTGTGCTACATCATGTCTATTCAGGAAAGTCTATTATCATAGAGTACATGTATATGTTCAGATATCTCACTCAGAGACCAGAGTATACTAAACATAACCAAATTTAGTGAATGCAGCAGCATCTGGCACACAACAAGTTTATCTCCTGTCTCTCACATACAAAGCATATCTACAGCCAAGTATGTAATGGTATAGTTCATAATAATATATAGCTATGTTGCAGGTGCATGTACTAACTAGTGCAGTTTTTTGTGACTTTTGTTACACATATATGGCACCACAAATATTCTCAGCCACCAAGGTGTTGATTAGCAGGCTGTATGTGCCCTCACCTGATATCCTCATTCCTTGGATTTGGAAGATTTTTTTTCAAATGCTATCAATAATGATATTATTGTTATTATTATTATTATTATTATTATTATTGACATTGTGATTATTATAAAGTTATTAGAATACTAATAGCAATAGATTTTTTTTTTGGGGGGGTAGGGGGGATCAAGGCAAAGGGTAAACAGTTCTGATAGGTAAAACTAGTAATTACACATTTTAGAGTATCTGGTACCTTTGTGAAGCAAATCTCTTTTTTTATATTTCAGATCAAAGAAGTGATCATTGTCAAGTTGACACATCATTTTCCACCAATGGCAAAGCTGCTGTATGTGGCTGGCTGGAGAAACCTGGTCGATCAGGCAAAAGACCCAACTTGTGGCCTGCGAAGTCTTCATCTGATCAGCAGAACCAACAGTAAGAGGTATCCACTGTATCAAGAGTCACCCGAGTGGGAGACTGTAGTGGAAAATATCAAGTCCAGTTATATGAGAGGAAAAGGTAGGATCAGTATTTATTTTTTTCTTCTTCCTCTTCTTTTTCTTTCTGCGTCAACTTCTTTATCTTCTTGTTCATCTACTTTTCCTTTTATTTATTTCTCTGCTTTCCCTTTGTCATTTTCTACTTTTTCTCATCTTTAATGTTTCTTTCTTTAAATTTACTACTACTATCTTCATTGTCTTTCTCTTATTATTCTTGGTTTTAATCTCTTTTTTTTTTTTTTTTTTTAGATACCAGTTCAAATAAAATCATTACTTATATTGACCCTCTTATTTAATGATAATACTACTGAATAACAGTACAATGAAAACTGCTCATCTTTTTTTCTTCAATATAAAAAGAAGTTTTTTCTCTATTATTGTTATTATTATTATCACTTTTTTCTTGTTTGCTTGCTTGCTTTTCATAACCTGTAGAAATGAAACCAAAATATCAAAAATGACTATATAATTCCTTTAAATTTTGTTTCCTCTCTTTTTGCCCAGTGCCTTGCATCGTTGTGGCTGGTGGACAAAAAGTGGGGAAATCAACCTTTTTCAGGTATCTAGTCAACAGTTTACTAAGCATGGAAAGAAGTAAAGGCGTCCTTTGCTTGGACTTCGATCCTGGTCAGGCAGAATTGTCCCTGCCAACATGCCTGACATTCTTGCATGTCAAGTCTCCTCTTTTGGGTCCTCCTTATACACACTTGACTGTGGGTTCCAGTGACAGTTGCAAGCAGATCCTCATAGGTGCCACCACGCCACAGTTTGTTCTGCAAAAATACTTGAATGCTGTCCAGTCCCTTTCTACTTTCAGCCATAACTATGAGAGTCTTCCATTGGTGATTAACACTATGGGTTGGACAAGTGGAACAGGTATTGACCTCATCCTGGATGTGATAAGGATAACACAGCCTACACATGTGATCCAGATCTGTAGTGAAAAGAGGCAATTCAACTACCCCTTCTTCTTGAACAGTGAGACAGTTGAGAACCATAAAGGAGGCATTGCCACAAAACCTGGCTCTTCCTATCTTGAACATCAGATGATCCCCCTCCGCTCGGTATCTGTGTTGAAACTGAATTTGTGTAATGCTAGCAGTCTCCGAGAAATATCAGTTTTATCCTACTTCAGTAAAATTATCAATCAGGAAAGCATGAACAAAAAGAGTTCCATGAAAGGCATAGTGAAAATAAAGTGGTGTGATGTTGTGCTCCATGTTTTTAGCACTGAAGTACCCAGAGAGAAAATTTTGCAGGCCATGAATGCATCCTTAGTTACACTGTGTAAAGTTGATCCCAATGACATTGAGACTGTTGGTCCATATTACCCAAAGCAGCTTGTTGAAGATGCAGATTTTAGGGACATTATTGGATGGGGTATTGTCAGAGGCATTGATCCACTCACACAAGAATTGTATGTTCTGACGGACTTGAGTGAAGAAACAGTTGCTTCTTCTGTAAACGCCATCATCATGCCGGATTTATACCTGCCAGCTCATTCTTATACATTATTTGCAGAAAGTAAGTGTACCTCAACTACTTTGTTGTTTGTATATAGACTGAATATTTTCATTTGTGTAAATTATCAAACTTAGAAACTTGGATGTAGTTAGAATAATATTCTTAATATTTTGTCCTGAATATACTTTGTGTGAAAATTTTCTAAAGCAAATGAAATTGCAATAATGATTCCATTTATAGCATGATAAACAAACATTATAATATTCTTAACTCCTTGCTTCCAGGAATATGTATTACCAATTATTGTGTTGTTTGCATATAGATTTTTTTTTTTTTTTTTTATCATTATCATCATCATCATCATCACTTAATATTGATATAATTATTGTAAGTGACTCTTAACGATAGTAGTAGCTATATATATATATATATATATATATATATATATATATATATATATATATATATATATATATATATATATATATATAACAATTTGTTAACAAAAATCACTGTGGACATGGTATGTATTTTGCCATCCCAGCATCAGTGAGTTAAATGAAGTGAAATCATTCTAAAATATTTATGATTTTTTACCAGATTCTAAGGAAGCACCATATATGGAGCAGCCAATGAAAGAAGACCGAGTAGAACTTGTCAAAGACCGTGTGAAAAAGCCTCAGAAGTATTCTGTTCGAAATAGGGAACGTTAAGTAATGCTATCAGCTTATTCCTGCATAGATAAAGTGGTTAGACTGGTATATGATTTACATAATGTACTGGTATATATTGTATGTTGATCTTTAGTATCAAATTAGTTTGTTGATATTTTTTGAATGTACAGATACTATCTTATATTTATATTTTGTATATATAGATGCAGGATAGATAAAACTTGTAATTGTTATAAATTTTATATTTCATCCATGTTTCTTTGTATCCCCAAAATTGAGTTAATAGTTGAAAGCTTTAAAGCTGACCACTTTTCTTAGATAATGAGACCTGTATATATGTTTCTATTTATATATGCATTTATTAAACTGTTGTATACAGTGACATCAGTTTCAGCATCATGAAGTACCAGTGGAATATACTGGGATGCCAGTGTTGACGACATAATTCCACCTTATATAAGTTGCTGCTGAGTGATCTCTGTATTTCTGTTCTGGCTCTATTATTTAGACTCCATATATTGCCTTAGAAATTCTATAGCTCCACATACCATCCCTCTTCCCATCAGTTATGTAAATCAGCTAAACTATGCCCCACTCTCTACCCAAAATGAGGAACTATCATTGGCAGAGTCTGTGTCACAGTTGCCCCCTCTGTCCTACCCTTGTCCTCCATATTCCCCTATCCCCCTATCCTTCACTTCACCCCTTACCCCTTCACCAGGGATGGGAGAGGGAGAGAGTTTACATTTGTTTACCATGAAATGAACTTGAGGCTTCATTGAATCTTTCCTTTCAACTTTGTGAGAGAGAGAGAGAGAGAACTGTATTAGATAAGAGACTCTTAAGATGACACATCAATGTTACCACTTGCAGGCGAGTACCCCATACACAAGCAACACACTTCTTTTAAACCATTCAGAGTAAAACGGTTAATATCACGTTTCAGTAAGTTATGTCTTCTCAACTGATTTTATATTAATTTCTACTTTGATCCTCTAAGTTTATGCTAAAAATATTCATGAAAATTAATAATGAATGAGCCAGTAGCTGCAACGTACATCTTACAATAATGAGCACGCAACTAACATACAACACATAATGTGATTTTAAAAATTAGTTTGATGTTGCTCTCATGTATACTACTTTTAATTTAGATCTCATACAGGAGATTTGGAGCTGATGAAGAAACAGAAAAGCCTTGTAGAAGTAAAATAAAACAGACAGCATGTCCCACCAAGAATATCCATTGTAACAAATGGAATAAAACTAAACTAAATTAATTGTGTGTTCCTGCCAAAAAAGGAGAAAGAAAGAAATTGGATTGATGTAAGAAGTTGCCAAGGCAATAGGGAGGGAATAAGATATCCATGTGTCAGGAGTATAGACTGGATATTGGTGTTGGATGCAGAGAGACTATGAGAAGGAGTTTGTGGAGTTGAATGCTGAATATTGTTAGGGCAAAAACATGAGGTGACTGTGTGGGGCAGCAAGTGGAAAAGTGCAAGGGGTTTGTGCAGTGTTTGCCTGTGGAGAGGGTCTCAGTTTAACAATGTCTTTTCACTTTGGTTCTTAAAATCAAGGTGTGGATGCTCATGCAGGATTGCATCAAATTACTTTTATCTGATGTGGGGGGTTCACTATCAAGATCGATATAGATTTACATAGACTTTGTTTGCCACTACATATCTCTCAAGATGTTGATGGTGGTTGGTTTCCAAGCAGAAGATCAGCCCAAGTTACTTGATATAGGCAACCAAAGGAAACTGAGGATGGTTAAATTCATCAGCTTCTCCTCTCTAGCCTTTTCACAAACTTACTACCCTTTAGTACTTTTTAACCTGTAACTTTACCTTAATCATTAACTCTTTTTCCTAACCCTTATCATTACTGTACTTTATCATAGCGCTATATGACCTTTGATGTCATATAGCACTTCCTTACGTGGGGCCTTTGCCCCTAAACTTCATGATATCAATAAATTTTGAATATGCCGCTGATGACCTTGGATGTTGATGTGGCAGAAAATTTTCAATAAATAAATAAATCATGGAGATAAAATCCAAAACATCATAATGGTTCCTGCTCATCACCGTTTCATCCTCCAAAGCCCATTCTTTTTGGTGCTCCAGTACCCTTATCAGCCAAAGCTATGCAGAAAGACAAAGTTACAATACCTTACTTGTATAGACCTTGCTGAAATGAATCCAGTCTGCTAAGGTTCACACAGTCTATGATTTCAATTAAATCTTACCTGCAAATATAATTGAATTGCAGATGCATCACCATTTTTTCCATACTCCAACCACACTCACATTGGGTAAACATAGCACACTCGTCACTGGCATGAACGTCCCCCAATTCAATATTTGTTAAGGAAGTAATCCAATATTAAAGTTAAGGGAGTAATAAATCGGAGTTCTGATATAGTCTACAGTGATGTCAAAGGTATGTGTAATACGATTTCAGCTTTTTTCTCTGTATATGTAGTTGAAGGTTAATCCTATGATATTGAGATAAATAGAAAAGCAGATACGTTAATAAAATATTTATCAAGATGAAGGAATGAGTGAATATTGACTTTTAATTAGGTAAATCAAGTAAATCAATCAAAATGATAAACACCAGTATGTCTTGTGCCTTACTGTCATGGTGTTAGTTTGCCCTTTAAAAAGATGTAAATATTGAAATCCATTTTCTATTAACTCGCTTGGTTCCCTGTGATTCTTTAAGCCCCCTGCTTGCCAGTGTTGCCCACCAACACCTCAGCTGTGCAGAAGAGGCAAATAGACCTTGTTAGACCTTGGACCGAATGTGAATAGATAGATAGACAGATAGATAATGCTTGGTAATATGACCATTTAACACATATTAGTCACCTTTGTGTTATAACCCTACCTTAACAGTATACACAGTATTTATCCTATATTTCAGTTATGACTCGATTTGAACATGCCACCTTGAAACAGGAGGAGAGAGAACGAAACTTTTCAAATTCACAGAAAATGGCATACCAACAAGAGAAATGTGCCTTTGCTCGGGCCCTGTTTCATTATGGACCCAATACTTTATATCCGATCATTCGCTTCCCCCCCCCCCCCAATCCCTTACCCGTTGTTGTCGTGGTGGGGCTTAGGAGGTGAAGACTGGGACCCAATGATAGGGAACTCCCCAACCTTGGGACCACCGCAAGCCACTAGATGTAAGCGTAACAGAGATGGCCTTGGGGTGGTCAATGAAATGGGTCTTAACTTGCTGATTTATTTCTGAAGGTAGATATGAGACCCCCGGGTGGAGGACGAGGTAGTGGAGCTGGACCCTGTGTGGTCTGGCCTGTCTACCGTGTCTCCCCGTGTCTCCCCTCTCGTCTTAGGCGCATGCCCTTTTATGCGGCGGTTTCCTTGGAGGGCGGATGTTTATCCTGTGCGAAAAGAGAAAGGAAGGCAGCACCTGCATCCTGCGCAAGGAGAAAGGCATTTGTTTGGACCGAGGTGTGAATCTGCCATCCGGTCTTGCTATGTATTGTTCACAAGCCCTCGACTCAACTAATTTTGCATGGTCTTTTTTCCATTCCCACTTTTTCGTTTCTGTCCCTTCACCAATCCCTTCTACTATGCACCTCCTAAGGTGTGAGAGCCGTGCTGAAAGGCTGACTTTGTGCCAGTCCTGAACGGCCTGAGGGAGCCATGGGCACGGTATTCCCTTGCTTAGGCCTAGCCCTTACCCCCTCAAGGGGACCCTGAGGGGTGGACTGTTTCTCTCCCCAACATACTCCAGGCTTACCATGGCCAATAATGAGACCGATTTTTCGTGATCCCTCCCACAGCTCCCTACTCTGACAACACCCTTCTCTTCCAACAATGTCTCCAGAAACAAGTAAGCAAAGTCTCTTTCCGTAGCCGACCCGACCGCTCCCGTCTCGTCACAGTAACATCCGAAAACCAAGCTATAGCATTAGCAAAACTAACTGATCTATATGGTAACCCTATCCTTGCCGAACCCCATAACCCCATCCAACCCTCAATACTGGAACTGGAACTGTTTCTATCTCCCCAGCAAACTGCCCAATCTATGACAAAGATTGGTCAGATTGTGGAGAAGACTTACTCGCCTGTCTCACAGACTATGATGCGACATCAGTACAATGCTACTCCATTCCTCCCAGAGGTCATCGTAAGAAACCCACTAACATCGCAAAAATTACTTTCCGTAGACATGACCTCCCATTTAATGTTTACATTGATGGAGAATCATTCCCAGTCCGACCATACCAACCTCCTCCTCGTCAGTGCCAAAATTGTTGGCGTTTAGGACACCCAGCCAAACATTGCCGTTCTACAGCCAGATGCCCACTATGTGCCCAACCTGGCCATACTCGATCAAACTGTGCACAATCACGCACATGTGCCAACTGTGGTGGCCCTCATAATGCATTTTATAGGGGCTGCCCCACCTACAAATTTGAGTCTGAGGTAGCAACTCTCAGATTCAAACTTGGACTCACACTACGTGAAGCCAGACAGGAAGCACGTCGACGAGGTTTTTCTCTTAATCCCTACTCCAGTAATATTGCTCATTCTACCACTTCCCCTACCTCCCAAGCTCCTACATCCTCTCCTAAACATACCCCCCCCTCCATCTAACTCCCCCTCTTCTACCTCCTACCTTCCCCAGTCAAACTCTTTTGCCATCCTAAATCCAGACATTCCAATCTCTACTACAGACACTCCAATCTCCACTACAACCCCAACACCTTCCCCTCTCCCTCCCCGCACTACCCGCAACAGACAAAACAAACGTCCCACCCCCTCTTCCCCTACCACACAATCACCTCCACCTTCCTTTGCCCCTACTCTTGAGACACCAGTCTTCTCTTCCCCCCCTTACAAGAAATCCTTTATCCCACAAAACTCCCCAACCAACTCCATTGAAGAAATTCTTGAAAATATTCAAGACTTCTTAATGAAAACTGACACCCATCAACCTTCAAATCCTACAACTCCTCCTCCCTCCACACACCAAGTGACTGCCGATAACCACCCTCCTCCTAACGATATCCCCCCTACACCCTATCCTCCTACCCCCTCCCAACACAGCCCATCCCCCCCAACTCCAACCCCATCCCACATTAACCCTCCCACCATCCCCTCTATCCCTTCCACTCCCTCCTGGATACACACGTGAATCCCTTATATCACAAGCATCCCCTTCCACACCCGCCTAACACACCCCTGTCTGATGTCACAATGCTC